AAAATGGATAAGTAATTAAGCACCATTATCTTAAATTATGATACTTTAAGAGGTTTTCTGTGGAACATGTCTTGAATATAGGAAAATTGCAATGTTAAATACAGTTAATCACACTGTTCCAGAAGTACAGAATGTAATGGTTTAATTAACCCAGTGTCACTGCAGCTTGATTTTAACTAACATTTTTCCCCTCCCTCTTTAAAAGCACTCCCAGTTGAAGCATTTCAGCTGTGTGCCCTTGGAATCAGACCTGGATTTGGATTCTGACGAAAACCCAAAATCAGAGCCTGTAGCTCCAATGGCTGATGCAAAATCCAGATCTAAATGCTTTCAAACTTTGGCATATTTGTAGGCCAGATTCAACATCTTCACAGGCTGCAGTTTTCAGTGTAATACTTGATTGATTTCCTACCATTTATCCCCTTCCCTTCCCCACAAATGTCTTGGAATAGTAACTGCGAGGTGTTCAGGAGCTGGAAAATTTTTAAACTTAGGTCATTGAGTGTAGACTAAGAACTTTAAATAGAGGTAGCCATTCTCAAAAAGCTTGGTCAAGATCTGTATGTTGTGGTCTAATACAGTGTCTCTGCCAAGCTGTTATTCAGTGAATTACAATTTGGAAATCTGAGAGAGACATATCTCCTCTATCAAATCCATGTATTGATCTCAAAGGAATTCAGGTACTGTCATGGATTAACATACACACTATTATTGTGAAAGATAACACCTGGAATTCTACTCTGACTATATTCTGTATTCCAGTTTGGATAAATCAGCACTAAAAAAAGCGGAGTTCAAAACCTACGGCTTAAAGCCTGTAATTCACCTCTCTTTCATTTATTGCTCTTTATTTAATGAAAATTGAAGCCACTTATGAAAATAAAACCTAGTCTTTGTCTAAATGTATGTGCCTCAATTTCCATAGAGCTGTACGATTAATCAGTGTAAGACATGGAGGAAGACATATGAAAGCTCAGGCAAGTGAGCAAAACCAAATTTCCAACACAAGGTATATTTTACTCCATCAAACAAGCCACATGTTTGTATATCAAGCCCAGAAATCATCATACCACAACCTCCCAGTAAATCACAACCCTCAACAGGAGTCCTTCATCTTCTGAATTAAGAATCAGCTTCAGCTGTGTGGCCAGTCTTTTTCACAGTCTTACCGTGGACATTTGTAGTGCAGTTTATAACCCACTTGATACCAGATTTTTTCCTCAACAATGATGGCACTGTATTGGTTTCTATGAATTACTAAGAGACATTAGAAATCTCCGTGTATTAAATTTTCAGTAATTTTCTTTTCTCTTCAATTTGCACATACTGTGTTTAAATCAGTGTCCTGATGTCACTGAAATCAGGAATGAACTTCCTAACACCAATGTAGTCTTAAGAGGCAGGCATTCTTTATTGGGGCTCTGGTTGCACGGGGGATCACTCCACCTATTGTGCATACAGACTCACCCCTCTAAAAAAGCTTTACACTATCAAAATATGCATATTAATTTCTTTTCCAATAAATTATTAACATATTCATCATATTTCCAAGAACTCATTAATATATTTAAATTTCCTTTTTGCATGCGCACTGATGTCCTTTTTATTCTCTTTGGGGGTCCTCTGGTGGTTGGGAAACTTTTGTCACTGTGCCCTTTAACTAAATTTTTCTTTTGTGCATGCTTAGTTCATCTTTTAGCCTGTTTACAGCACTTCTATCTCCACAAAACTGGTTTATCCTAGCATCACTACCTTATCTACCCTATTGATAGGACTCGGTGCCCCAAATCTACTATAAACTTGACTAGGCCTAGCAGATACGTAACTTATCTTTCAATGTCACCTTGTTTAAGCAGAGGGGTATGTTCTCTCGGAATGGTATCACTGATAACAGGGAAGGTAAGTATAGATTTGAAATTAGAATATAGTTGCTTAAACCAGAAACAACAGTATGTGGAAAACTGGACCAAATGAAAATCGTGACATGACACATGCAATTCTGTGTAGGACAAACTGCAAGAGATAGAGCTTCCATGGCTATAGTGAGCTAAACTCACTGCTCCAACAAGTGTGTCCAATAGAAAAAGGATGAGATAATGGAGTAAGTGGCTGAAGTGTAGGGGCAAATGGCTGTGTTAGGGAAAAAGAGAGTAAGTTGAATTTGCTAGAGTTGGAGGGTCAGTGGGTAGTGGAGGACAAAAGATAATTCAAAGAATAGTGGAAGAACAGAAAAAATACAAGCAAAACTATTTCAAGAGTGACAAGGAAAATCCTGCTCTTTTCCATCGCTGAAAAAAAATTCAAAACTTTCCCTTTGGAAAAATGGCAATCAATATACTGCCAGTTTGCACCTAAAACCCCCTAGATAGCCAGTCACAAGTGATTGTGAAAAATATTAGCTGAAACAAACACATATTGACATGATGAAAATTAGATTATCAGATTAAAAAAAGCTGTCTGTTCCCTGCTTCCTTTTTTTTTTTTTTTTCCTTCTAGCAAACAAAAGGAAGAAACATGAGAGCTTTTAACAAATACTGTAAGCAGCTTCATTTTTGCTATTGGTTTTATGGGGGTGAGGGATATATTCAGCTGTTATGGTGATGGTCTCAATATAAACTGTTTAGATAAAATTTCTACTTTTTCCTCCTAGTCTAAAGGCCATTGACATTATAGACACTTTTTCTTAAAGACAGTGTGTATGGAAATTATATTTACCTCCCACAATAGTAGGAGGTGTAATGTCTATTATTTTGCAGTTTCTGTGTCCAGTAGAAAAATTTAAGACAGTTACTGTAGATGGTTCAGCTACAGCATATTGCCATACACCACTTCTTGCTCAGACTTAACATAATTTCTATTTTTTCCTGTTTCTGTGAATATTAAATGAGAGAATGAGAAGACTACTTCAATTGAAAAGCTTATTTAATTTCCCTTTTCTTCATTTGCATTGTTTGTTGAATTACATTTCCATAGGAGAATGGTACATAGAACAGTCTATCCTGCCTAAATGGTTCAAATGAGCTATGTCAAAAATCACTTGGACAATAACTCACAGCCATGTTTTATTAATAAACAACTAACTAAGAATGTTACTATAGCTTAATATGTAGTAAATTTCTGCAGGCTTTGAATAGTTGTATTCACATTATTGTCGGAATCTTTTAATATTGTGTAACTGTATCTCAATAGTGCTTTTAATAGATATGTAGTGTGTCATTAAAAGTTACATAAATATTTCGAGACTTTTACATAAAGAGGTGTTTACTCCTTTTAAAGTCAGCACTCAATTGTATTAATGATTTTTTTAACACATGTCTGTATCTGAAAGGCAAATTGTAGTTATATGTAATGAAATTTCTGCTTTTGAATCCCTCCCTTTGGAAGGCAAACGGAAAAGATTCCACACTTTGCATTCTTTACTGATTTTCTGATGGGAAGGTAAAGGACTACCTAAATACTACGTAATGAAAGGACTAGACACATTAAAAAGCAATGATAACAGATGATCTTTTTCCTAGAGCCTTTGGCACCTCAACATCATTCATTTTCTGTTTTTCTGTGTATACTATATATTGTTTAATCAGATAAATGGAGTTGCCCAAGAAACCAAACCTCAAATTCAAAGGTGAGAGCTCACTGCCTACTGGCATCTATGGGCAAACACACAACTGTGCCAGGAGAAACTATTTTGCCTGGGAAAAAAATTTCTTGCATGAAAGTGGGGTAGAATTTTCCATGCTAGAGCAAATCTTGGAGCATTAAGTTACATTGTGTGTCCATGTGATTTTTTTCCCCTTTAGGCATAGCAGATGCATTCCCATATAAACCCATTTATAAGTTTACAATTGAAATAATCCACTGTTAAAAACATCTCAGAGAAGAAATGTTCATCTGCTTTCAGACACCATAGAAAAATTGTTGTAGTTCTATGTACATGTTGAATTTTGAGAACCATGAACACTGATAGGCAGGGAAAGCTGTTATATTTCTCAGCTGATTAGGAAAACTTTTTTCCTTCTATTTCTGGACAAATTATTTGCTTGTTGCTGTTAAGATTTATATATGCCTGAGTATATTACCACATTCATAGAACTTAAATATTTCATGTCAACTTTACTTTCATTATTGTACATGTTATACAACGTAGATCACAAAATGTCAGAGAAGAGCTGTCTCAGTGAACTTGACTTTAAAATTTTCTGGTATTACAGTTATTTCTGTTTATTTTTCTTTACAATGTATTTTTCTCTACTTGAAAAGCCAAAATTTTTCTTTAGGGAGTAGGTTATTGTGTAGAAAATACAAACTCTTCAAGTAAAGCTTTGTGCTGGTAGAATTATTTTAAAGAATAAGACAGTAACAATTACTTCTTAAAAATATGTTTCCATTAAATAGGAACTAGTAAGAACATCTGCTCTGCTTTCCAACTAAACATTAAGATTTAAGTACAGTTGGCTGGTAATCTGAACTGGAATCACAGAAAATAACCAGCTGATTTACCAGTTCAGCAAATGTAGTGGCTTTAAGATAGTTGTGATGGTGAATTTTCTCTGAGTAGAATACTGGCTCACAAACTTCATGTTAATTTTGAACCTATGAAGACCTTGAGAAGGAGGGAAGTCTAAAAAAGTTGTTGATTCACTTACAAGGCCAGCTGTTAATGGACCAGTCACTCACTGTTTAAAACAAGATTGATTAAACCACCCCTGTAGCGGCAGTATAGTTTAAGATACTAATTTTATAAAGATATAAAAATCCTGTATCAGAAGATAAAAGAAGGTACATAAGGAAACTTGACTTTTTTTTTAAAAAAAACAACTTTATATTGTTTCCCAGGATCATTTTGTTGAAAACACTAACTCACAATGATTTCAAAGGGGCCAGGACTTCACCCATTTTCCTGCTTCACTCCTTGTTTATTGACTGTTAGAAAAACTGTCTCCAGAGAGCGAACAAAGTAATTCATAAACAGGAAAAAGTAGTCTGAAACTCTATTAATAACCAACTTATTTTTATTAGAGCAAATACAGTTGTGAAAACTGTACATTGTACATTTTGGGTCAAGAATTATAAATAGAGAAACTCATAGATAAAGAGTTCATTCTTTGACAGCAAGAAACTTTAAATAGACAAACTGACATTATTAAGTACATTGGCAGACTTCATTGTGCTGTCCAAAATGTAGTGTACAGTATAACAACCAATTATAAATAGCCTTTCATGTAAAATACAGCTGTGCACATTTTAGAAAAATACCAACAATTTGTTTGAGCTTTGTTTTAAAAAAGCTTATAAATCATACATATTTATAAATGGTACTAACATGCTGAAATTTATAAACATTTTTATAAGCTTTGTTACTCATTATTTCCAGAGCATAAAGTATTTTAAATAAACATTTAATAGGAATTAAATACGTCAGTTACAAAATTACCTCTCCATGTACGGAGACAGGGGGTGATTTCATTGTTGGATGGAACATTTTGTCCATTATGTCAAGGCTTACACAGTAACTTTTAAAATTTTGATCTTGTTTAAAAATTACTTTCCTAAATTTAAAACACATTTTTTTTTAAATAAATATACAAGTTTTATTTTCATTTGCTCTCTTTCTGCTTTCTTCTTTATCCACACTGGTCAAAACACAGGATTCTCAACATACTTCTGTAAAAAACACCACGGTGTTACTGCCCTGCTTGGAGCTGCTTCGCTGCACATTATTCAGTCCACACCTACGTTACTTTAATATGCTGCATCAAAAGATAGCTAATGTGTTTTTCAAGAATGTTGCCCATTAAACCATGCAAACACTTAGAAAGTTTACAAACAGGTTCAAAAACTATATTGTATGAAAGATTTTCTAATAGAGATAAAATAAACCATAATACAAGCCCTTTGCATTTTGTAGCTTTAAAATAAAATATTTACTTGCCAAATGATCACACCACATATTTTCAATAAAGAAGCATGCTTTTGATTACTATAGGGTACAATAATTACAGTATAATGGCACATAAAAAGAAACATGATCACATCATTTGAACAAAGGGCTGTGAAACTACTTAAGACAAACTTTCCAAATGAAAAATTTTGAGGTTTTTTTAATGCTGAGGTAAAATTCTAAATATATTTTAAAGACACTGAAGGCATCAGATCGATAAAACAATCAACATTTCTAAATGCTCCACCTGAATGTATTCAACACAAATCTAGTATTTTAAAATTACTGTAATTTATTATGAGCATTAGCTAGCTTAACTGTCATTGGTATTAATGTGTACTCAGACAAGACTTTATTTTAACTGCTGGCAAAATACCTCAGTGTTGAAACATAATAATTCAAATCATCAATTACCACAGCACCAGAATTAAAAAAAATAAATAATTTAAAAAGTCAACATGCAAACCCTGTATCTCATCTTTCTTGGCTTATTCTGATATTCCACCTCCTGTTCAGAATGTGCTGATATCAACTTAAGATTCTTATTCTTTTATTATGAAAAATTTTGCTTGCTATTGGCATAAGCATTTGAGCACTTTTAGGAAGATACCAACATCTTCAAATTTTTCAGTCACGGTATATTACTTACTAAACCTTAAAGCAAAATCGCTCCTCAAGTTTAGGAACATGAATTTAAGAATTTTATCTTCAGATTAGAAAAAGAGATTTCATTGTCTGCTTCTGCTACTAAGCAGAACTGGTAGCTTTCTCCAGGTTGGACTAGACACTATGTTATGGCTATACATCAAATTTCATAAACAACGAATTAACAGAATCATGCACAGGCAAATGAAATGCGATCTCCCAGAACACTGCAGGAGATGTTAAAAGCAGCAGGTAATGGAATAAGACTGGTGACTGATGCTGCTAACTATTTCTTCTAATGAGATAGGAGTGAACGCTGGAATCACTTCTACAGCAACAGAATCCTCTGACCACATTCCTCTGGCAGTCGTTTTCCCATCTCCCCACTAAAAACATCAGACAGCAAAATAGTAAGGCAGCTGTTAGCTTCCATCAACAAAAAGTGCAGCTCCGTACATTTCCAGTTTAGTCATACTCTGCTGGAACAGATGGAGAAGCCAACGCACTTCACTGGCGGGGCTGCTTCAGCAGATTATTTTGTTTGTTTTCCAACATGGCTGCTTGCTTCAGCTTTCAGAGGACCCCAAAGCCACGAGCCATCAGCAGAGAAACTGATCTTGGCCCCTGGCTGAATTTTCCAAGTTTCATCTCTCTTGCGTCCCATCCTAATTCCAAGCCTCCTTCCCTGTGTCTGAGTATGACAGGTGCCATTTAAAAGGCTGATGACACAACTGCAGAGAACTGTGGGCTAACACCACTAGTTGTCATGACTTCACTGAAGGGTCAAAACAGTTACATTATTAAATAACTATGTTGAATCACATTCAGGCATAGCTAAAATTAAAGTAGGGAACATTAAAAGTATGCAAAGAAATTAAATCTTTATCATTTGAGGTGGGGTGGATATGGTGATTTTTATATGAAAACAAGACCTTTCTTACCTTTCCTAATTCCAATCAAGTTAGAAAATGGACAAAAAGAATGGCTAAACCAATATTCAACAGCATTACCAGGGCGATCATGACTGAGTTAGGGCCCTGAAAATAAAATAAAGAAATCAGAATTAATGGAACCTTCCACACAGCGCACAACAATGAACACAGCCTGACTTTATAATTTTGACCTGTTTTGACCTTGCTCTGAAAGACTGCCTACATATTAAAGATACAGACTCTGCTCCTGAAAGGTAGCTATTACCCTTGGTAGTCAGGTGAGCTAAATATCACCTGCGGGAAAATGAGCTGGATAAATACAGGTGAGAGTATATTACTACGCTGTTCTTAATCATGCTGAGATTGAACTGTCTGACAAATATGACTGCACAAACAAATGAAAAAAAAAATCACCACAAAAATAGTATCAGCTTAAAATAAAGCAAAACAAAGAACCTGAACTACTTTAGGAAAGCTGGAGCACTTCTCCTCATCCTCATAGCAGGTTCCTTTCGTGGTTCCAACTCATTGCAGAACAGAAGGAGTTTTGCATGACAATGTGTTGCACAAAAAGAATACCCCCTTTTTTGATAATCGAAGTAAAAAAAAAATGTTACTTACTACTTCACTAACATACCTAGCAACGTTTCCACTACAGATTAAAAACAATTTTACACCTTCAAAATTACAAACTTGCTTTGATTTACTCTGACACTTAGTGATCATAAATCATAATTTTATAGACCTATTTAGTGAAGAAATTAAAAGTAAAAATATTGCTTCTCTCCCTCACTACAGCTAAACTTCATTAGAAAATGTAATCATTACGTAATTTTAGTCTTTCTGTGAAGTCAGGAAACAAAGTTTTTAGTTCTTTTCAGCAGTTTTGGGAAAAAAAAAATTAAACATGGATGCTTTCTGCTGAGCAACATGAAATAATGTCCTGAACAGAAGGAAATTCTCAGTTCTTCCATTCTCTTCTTAACATATATGGCTTACTATAATATATTTTCGCAGAGGTTTGTATACTCTTATATATTAAGGTTGCATATTTACTCTAAGCAGAAACAGAAAAACTCTTCATTCAGACAATACTTTCCTAAATCACAAAAGTGCCCCCAAAATCTTCCGAGCTACATAAGGATCACTAGCTTGCCTAAGAAGGTATATATTTCATTAGAAATTATGTAATTTTTTTCACTTACCACATGAGGCATGCCTTGCAGAAGTTCATTATGCTTCATGACAATGCTAACATTAGTGACATAATTTCTGGAATGCTAAGGTGAAAGAACTTGCTATTATTAATTTGCTGCAGCAGTATAACTGGTAAGCTATCAAATAGTACTTGTGGTATTATTATATCACATGCTCTCATCCTGAACAGTCTCATCAATCACCTTCTACCAGAACATACCTTCACACAGCAGTTAAGATGGCAGGCCAGATGTGGACTGCTAAATTCTTGAATAAGTCACAAAATAAGTGTTGTCAAGTACTCCTTAAATCTCTGGGCGGTCTAATCCCAACCAGCACCTCTATCCATAAAGGCCATAAAGTTCCCTTTGCACCTATTCATAGGCATCTGTTCACATGCTGAGGAACTGGATGTTCAAGTTCAAACAATGATTGAGACTGTCAGGACACCAGTGAAATGTTGCCACAGGGGTAAATGGTATTGGCAGCAACATTCACTTTTTTGCTTCATGGCAGAATATCTAAAATATTCAGTAGGAAATTGAAGACTAGGTTTAAGGTCTCCTTAGTCACAAGGATTTTGAATACAAAATTCCCACTTACCAGTGGTATGTTTTAACCTTTGGGTCACAGAACAGAAATGGAACCACGTTCCTTCCTTCTTACTGGAAGTGAGCCACCATGTGCCAAAGAATATGAGACACTTGGTGACAGAGAACAGGCATAAAAGGAAAGCACGACTCCAGGCATCGTTTAGTTTCTTACGAGCACTGTAAGCAGCCTCGCTGTAGCGATGTGTAACTCAAGGTTAATTTCTTCTTTCTCTTTCTGGTATGGTCACAATTGTGCTAGCTTGGGTACTTCTATGCTTTTCTACTGTGAAGGAAATCAAAGTTCCCACTAGCATTCCCACCAAATGCATTTGGCAATGGTGAGATTTATGCATGAAAGCCATATTGGAAGACTTTGAGCAATAAAACATGTTTTACTTGAAACAACAGTTACTTTGAAAACCTCTCAGTTTTGTTGTCTTGGAATGTCAGTGCCAACACCTTTAGAGTGAACCTTCCATTTAATGACAACTTCTTTTACAAAAGAAATCTCAGAATCGACAAACAGGAATAGTACGTAGAAGCTAATGTTACATGTATCTCGACAGCAAGTCTGATTACACTATTAATTTCCACTAAGATTTGGATTCAGCATCTTCCTCTCCAGTGGTGAGACACTGAAACAGGTTGCCCTGAGAAGCTGTGGATGCCCCATCATTGGTAGTGTTCAAAGTCAGGCTGGACAGGGCTTTGAGCACCCTGACGTAGTGAAAGATGTCCCTGCCCATGGCAGGGGTTTGGACTAGATGATCTTTAAAGGTCCCTTCCAACCCAAACCATTCTGTGATTCTATGATTCTAATAGGGCCTTCCTGTGTAACTAAAATCAGGTCAATAGGTCCTTAATAGTTTGGGATCCCATCTAAAGGTTTTACCATTATACTGCACCAGGAATTGCAAGGAACTGTGAAGGAGATCATTGCCTAATACCATTAATAATCACTGGGATTTGGGCATCTAATGCTTTGTATCTTTGAAAATAACATCCACGGAAATCAAGGTGATTTACTACTACTGAAAAAAAATTTGGACCTATGAGGACCTCATAGGACCCAGGAACTCATTCATTACCTTAAATATATCATGAAACAGCATCCTGATAGCTGCAAGACAGCTTTTGGCTGAAAGGCAAGTTGTGGCTGCAGCTCCAACAGCAACTTGGTATCATTAGTGAACAGTCTTACAGAATTAAGTTTGGTGGAGGGGATTCTCTGTTGATGCATCTGTCAGTCAGGTCAGGCATAACAATCTCACCAGAATAACATTAGATACATTAGGTTAAAAAACCTAGGGGCTATTGTTTGAATCAAGAGACATCTCATCTACATAGACAGAAGAAAGTGACATCTTAAGGGCTGCTGATTTTATATGAAGATCAAAGAAAATGTGTTATTTGTTTATGATAATGAGTTTATGCTTTATACAAAGAAGTAAATCCCATCTATGTGCATTTTATTTCCTCTTCTGACAACTGCAACTGTCAGCCAAAGTAGAATTTCCTGATACACTAAAAAATGATCAAAAAGCATTGGTTGGAGCACATGGTTATCATGCAATAAAATATTACCTGTTTTGTAGACACCTATGAAATGCGCATTCAATGCTTTAAGACAAATACTATAAATAAGACTTTAGTGTCCTGCAAGGGCTTAAAATAGCAAAGGCCAAAATTAGTCTGAACAGTCCAAGAGTGACTAGAACAGGTGCACTAAAGAAGCTGCAGTAGAAAAATTCCAGTCCTGCTTAAAACCTGCCCTTTCAGCTTCTAGTAAGTCAGACACTTATGTAGTTAAAAATATAATCATACGATTACTTTTCATTTGGGGAGGGAAGAAAGTTATTTTCTGAAAATGTAGTGCCAGGAAGTATTAAGACTAGTCTTGTAATCCCATTGCATTAGGAATGTCCATTAAATTTAGCATAAAGTTCTTGCTCAGAGGTTTTTTTTTTAGGATCAGGCAAATACTGATCTATTTTTTCTAACGTCACAGTAGTTATATCCTTTACTAACTGGATGTTAAGTGAACAAAGGGATGAGAGCAGAAGCACAGTGGGTAACATTCAGCAAAATGTAATGACTTTAGATACAGGTAAAAACCAGGCTAAACACTCTGTGTGGCTTAAAAATTCTTACCAAGAAAACAAAAAAATGACAATACAGTAGAACACTTACTCCTGGGCTTGCACCTGAGCTAGGGCAACACATGTTAGGAAATTCAAATGGGTATTCATTAACTACACTACAAGGGTGTTTTTTGCAGCCCAATCCTACTTATCACCCAAATCCAAGACAATCTCAAATTAGCTCTCATTCAAGTAAGACAGGAGCAAGCTGATACTGGGGCTAGAGGCTGCTAATGAGCAATTAGGAACAACAGGTAGTACTAGTCTGTGGTCCAGTGTCTCTGTGCACACTTCATAGTGTGGTAAATATAAGATAATTTGAAGGTACCTAATGCTCAGTGACAAAAGCATGATTTACCTCTCACTACAGTAAATGCCTGCAAACAAGTGTCTGTTTTGGAGCAGCTGATAACCAGTGATTTTGTCAGAGTGTTTTATGCATGTTTTCACCTTGATAAAGCTATGACAGAGTCCTATGGCTCTTTCTTAGGAGCTCTGAAATGATTCTAAACTTCTATTTTTGAACATCAGAAAATAAGTATACAGAGAAACACATTTATATACTTTATGTGCAGTGTGGTGATATTTTTAAAGCATAATGCCAGAAATAGGGATATCTAGAGAATCAATACTGTTCCTGTAACTAACTTATTGCATAGACAATATTCAGTGATGTTCCTAAGGATGCAAAAGATTCACAGAATATATGAAACATGAATTTTATTACTAAAACAGTTACTGCAGACTTCTCTGTAAATTAAATTGTTTAAAGTTCTTAATCCAAATTAAGTTTATGTTCCATTTAGATGTGAGAAATGGCTTTGATACAGATACATGAAAGGAAGAACTGAAAATCATATGTCCTAACCTATGTTTTTAGTGCTTTCTCACTGAAAACCCGGAGAAAGCACAGCACAATTTTATACAGCACTTCTAAAAAGCTAATGAAAGTGCTCAATAAATATTATAGGCTCATTCTGTGTTCCAAAACCAAGTTTTTTGGATCTCTTTCCATGAGAGTGAGAGTTTCTTAACAAATATATTTTTAAATTTCTATGGAGGATCTAAGGCAGACATACTTTAAAAACACAACAAAATAATTTGTCAGGATGACTATAAAGCAATTGCAATTACTGATTTAAAAAAAAAAAAGCCCCAATGCAGCCCTAGAATTCTGAAGTCTCTCAACATTCACACATACTTGGGGATAAACAGAAATACACTAAACTGACTTCTCCTCAGTAACTGTGCACTCTTAGGTCAGCCACTGTGTAATTCAGCACACTATTGAGCTCAGTCCAGGAGCACTGCAGCACAGGCTACTGTTTTTCTGAAGCTGAAAAGTGATAGTGAAAATTAAAAAGAAAAGTGTCCAGCCAGTGTTAAGTTATTCTGTACTACATCTCTCCCTCAGTTTGTTACACCAGTAGGCTTCTTCTTTCTGCTTTAATTGTTTTAGGATTTGTACTCATTTAAGCATTTTAAAGCAGGAAGCATGTAGGAAATTTATTCTATAAGGGCAAATTTATAGACACAAATGGAAGACATCTTTGAAAAAAATTACATACATCTATATATATTTTAAAATGCCATTATATAAAAAATGGGTTCCTAAACTCCACCCTCCTTCCTTACTGAAATGCTGATAATAAGAATAATGCAATTAGTTCGCTCGAAAAGAAGCAGAGGGACAGTTCCCAGATGATCTGTAGTAGCAGTAAACAAACAGTAGCTAATGAACAGAATCTCATGACTCTTCCACCTTTTCTGATAACAGGCTATAAGTTCATGGTCCTTACCCTGATTATTCCAGAAGGTTAATAAACTGCTGTTTAGATGCCCTACTCAGTTTCTTAAGGTGAAGACTTCCTCAGCTCTGAACCATTATTTGATTTGGATGGAATGTAGGAAAATTAAGGACTATTTCTAGCCACTTATTTTCACCAGAGCTGAACAAAAATTCCAATTCAGGCTAAAATTCTGTGCATGCTCACTCAACATTTACAAGCCTGACAGCTTTGTGTTACCCTACATAGGAGTCATATCTGTGAGATCTGAAAGGTTAAAGGGCTGATACCAGCTGTAATACAGATTTGCAGATTACAAAACCACTGTGAACATCTACTTTGATCCGCACAAAAGAGAATATAAGCTTCTTTCTGCTGAACTAGAGGATATCGTCTTGGCAAAATGCTCATTATCAAACTATTCAGTGATGGCTCCAAAAACTTGGCATCTGAAAACTGATGTTACATTTAATTAATATCATTAAAAGCAACTTAAAACAAGACTTTTTTCTAAATCTGTCCAGGAGCTGGATCTTCTTACACATTTACCTGTTAGCTTTGAAAACTATTTTATAAAGTGTACTTACAGAAAGTGATTTAATGTGTCAGATTTTTTTGCCTTGAGTCTTTCATTGTAAGATATGTTTTAATCATTCCTGCAGTTCTTTGTAGGACTTTCCCTTAAGGTTTTTTTCATTTTAAATCCCTGATTTATGGACACTGTGTTTTATTCCAGAAGTGGTTGCACCAGTGCCAAAACCAGATAAAACAGACTCCCATGTACTCTTGCTTAATCTTTCCTGTTGATAAATCTAAGGATTATATTAACATCTCTGAACAACAGCAGCAGACTGGGAGCTCATGCTCAGTTGCCTCTCTTGCTCCTGATCCACTAACCTTTTCCAGTTCCGATCCTGCGTGGCCAGGCTCTGTTAACTGTCTTTCAATATAAACAGGCAGCTAGAACAAGTCCAGAGAAGGGCCACCAGGATGATCCAAGGGCTGGAGCACCTCTCCTATGAGGACAGGCTGAAAGAGTTGGGGCTGTTCAGCCTGGAAAAGAGAAGGCTCCAGGGAGATCTTATAGCAGCATTACAATACCTGAAGGGGGCCTACAAGAAAGCTGGAGAGGGACTTTTCATAAGGGCAATTAATGACAAAACAAGGGGAAATGGGTTTAAGCTGAAAGAGGGTAGGTTTAGATTAGATATTAGGAAGAAGTTCTTCACTGTGAGGGTGGTCAGACACTGGAACAGGTTGCCCAGGGAAGTTGTAGATGCCCCCACCCTGGAAGTGTTTAAGGCCAGGCTGGATGAGGCTTTGAGCAACCTGGTCTAGTGGAAGGTGTCCCTGCTGATGGCAGGGGGGGTGGAACTAGATGATCTTTAAGGGCCCTTCCAACCCAAACCATTCTATGATTCTATGATTCTATATGATCTTACATTTTGCTGTGCTCCACATGGATAATTATACTTGCATCTTTCTTAGCAGGTGATTTGGATCAGCTTGTATTGGTAACCTGTTGTCTTCATTATTTATCAGTTTCCTGGTTTATGTGTCTTCTGTAAACTTAATGTGTAAGACTTTTATGTCCTCTTCCATGTCATTAATGTTAATAAAATAGAGCGGCAGAATTAATCCATGAATGACCACACCAGAATAATACCAAACTACTGATGTTTTTCCAATTACTTTTTGAGAACCATCAGTCAGTTTCTTAAAAATTATTTTAATGTGACATTTAGCTTTTGCATTACTGGCTTCCTTGTCAGAATAAATAACTGTGTAAAAGCAAATCAAGTGACCTTCTTGACTGAGGATATGATTCCTCTGTCACACCTGAACATGTCGAACTTGTTTGACAAGGTCTTTTACAATGCATGTTGGTTGGAAATTCTTACACCTCTTTATTTTTAAATTCTTTATTAATGAAGTCTGGTGTCAATTATTCAACTGTTTGCCTGAGATCAGTGCAAGGCTATCTGGATTTCATTAAATGGGTCATTCCGTTTAACCCATAAATAATGACACACTTTTTTATTCTACTGGAATATAAAAAATGATTTTAAAAAACAATGCTCATTAAAAAGAAATATTATGACAATTATCTAGACCTCTTCATTCACTAAAGGTTAACTTTAGGATCTACAACTAACATTTTCCTGAGTTTCTCTTGGCCCAGAAATAATTTTATCATCATCAGAGATTCTGAATTCGATAACCTGGCTTTTTCTTCTAACGTGGAATAGAAATGCTATTAGTTATCTTTGCTTTTCTGCATAACTATTGGTAGTTCTATTATTTCTAAATAATAACAAGATTCAGATTCACACTGATCTGAATGCATAGTTTTAAAAGTCCTTCTCCATTTTGTGATGAAAAAGAAAGTAACATTTTTCACAACATTGTGAAATGCAAGAATTGTTAGATACATGCATTTTAAAACAGTTTATATTTTGATGCAAAGTGCCTGTTTTTAGAGCCTACAATCAATGCAGACAAAAAGTGAAAATGGAAGATTGTCTGGATTGGGTCAGACCACAGACTACTCCAACAGTATTCAAAAGTAGACCTTTGGGGAAGAGCATGAGTGTAACTCGCAGTACTGGCCAATTATCCACTGAAGTACAACAAACACTGTTTTGTGGACGGAGGAGGAAATATAGATATGTGTATCTGCAAATATCTGTCTGCACACATACACAATACACACATGTATATATATAGATACACACACTAATACGCACACTAAATAACACACTTTTGTGTTTATGGATGCAACAGGGTGGATGCAACATGGATGCAATGTTTCAGAAGTCTGTTCATATGTGGCTATTAAATATCCCTTCCCAGTTTTCAAAAAGGATAATATAAAGGACTGGAATATTTCTTCCTCACTTCAGTCTGGTGTAGTTGGTTCTAGCTAGCAGACTGTATCCAGATGAAGATTTGACAGAAGGGAGCTCTGCCTGTCTTTAGGTTGCAAAGCTCAGCGCTAGGAGGCAAAAGGACAGTGAAAAGATTTCTTGAAGTACTCACCGAGCTGTTTTCTACTTCTTTTTCCACAGCTGAATGTGACTCATTATTAGCTGGGTTCTTTGGTGCAGTAAATTCTGGTTTCTTAATTTTTGTGTCAGGGTTGTTTTCTTTGGCATCTGGCTTACCCCCAGATCTAGCAGGACTTGACTTCTGTGAGGATGGTATCCGTGCAAGTGCTGACGATGATGGGTTGTCATATTCATCTTCTTCCCTGAGCTCCTGTGGAAGCACTGTTGGATTCATTTTTACATAATAACCATGGTAGTGACCATGCAGCTCCCCATTCTCTGTGCTGGTGGGATTGTGATGGGCTGCAAACTTTGGCTGGTGTTTCACAGCTACTTCCTCTTTCATTGGTGCTTTTGAATATAAAGGCTTGTTAATTGTGGGTGTTATATTCTCAGTGGCTAAAAGCTTTTTTTCTTGACTGAGTCTTGCCCCAGAATTGGAGCTTTGCCTTTTCAGTTGTTTTGAAGGAGAAGCCGCAGAAGAAAGTGCAGGACTATGCCTTGGACTTGCTTCTGGGGTTCGAGGGGGTGTAGTACCTTTTCGATAAAAGTGAGGTGACTCTTTTGGAGTAGGTGGTTTTTCCTGAACTTTTTCTTCAGACTTCACTTCCATTCCTTCTTGAAATTTTTGTTTGATATAATCAGGGCCTGAAAAATAATGCAATAGAAATGTCATGATTAAAACACAAATAAGACTTGACAGTAAAACTATTGCATTGGGATGTCAGGCTGTGTTAGCCTTGCTAAAATGCTGGGAGGGGTGGGTGTTACCAAAAATCCACTGACATCTGTAGTGATTTACTCTAAATTGCTCAATAGTTGATGTTACTGTACTTTTTGTTAACTGTTGGGACTACTTACTAATTTGGTTCAGTCACTTTATGTCTTAGCTTTGCAAAGGGTCATAGGACATAAACTGTCTCTGAGTGAAGTATGACAGACTGAAGACTGACTTATCCTACGCATCTATCATTCTTTCTTTTTCTGAGAGGCGTGTTTTGAGGTATGTTTTGCTTAATTACCCTAATCTATTTAACTTCTACCCTCATGATCGTATTATCTGTTTGACATGGAAGTAATTAACCATCAGAATGAAATGTCTCTTCTGCACTTATAACTACAGGAAATAAGGCTTGAATATGTTTTTTTCCCTTTGTTTGCATGTTAGTTTGTCTTATATACATATATATGTGCCTTGAACTCTCAGACACTGTCTTTGTCTTCCTAATGCGATTACTCACCATATAAAGATCACTCGGTAACACAATTCTGCTTAGAAGCTAGGAAGGCAACTCCTCTCACACTCACTAGGGAAATACTTACAGAGCAGCCAGTATAAAGAATATCCTCCCCCCAAATCCTAGCTAAACACCCATGAGCACATTCACCACTAGGACTCACTTCTCAAGGTGCATTTCTATGCAGCTGTTTACATAAAGACAAGCTGTCTGAGATGCTTTGCTACAGGTTTTGGTTGTCTGATTTAACAGTTTAATGCTAACACCTGAGCAAATACTCTGTTGAAGAAACAAAATTGCTGTAAATCTGTCTGTACCAGGGGCAGCTTTTTCTCTTTTTCTTCCTAGATGACATCCTAGATTCCAGGATGAGGTCCCATAAGAAGTCAGAAGCTGGGGAGCTGTGTGAACAAAGCACTGCAATGATCTTCCTGTATGTCCAAAAATGGCTTCTGCCAAATACATTGCAACGGTTTCTCCACTTCTATCTTTGCTAGCACCATTACTTTTCTTCGATTTTTTTTATCTTCTGTAAGTGAGGCTTATCTGTGTTTTATGTCATAGAGAAATTCTGTGCCCAGAGAAGAACATCTGCATCCGTTTTTTTGCTTTTGAGTTTAAAGGAGGCTCTAGCTGTGTTAGGCAGATGCAGTGTTTTTACAGATGCCAGAAGCATATGCAGCACTACACAGTGCTAAAATGAGAGCATGGAGGAGCAGCATGAAGCTTTTGGAAGTTACTGAGTAAGTAAGCATTGCTGAGAAGAAGAATTACTCGGTATACAATGTCTTTTCAGCTCAGGAAAATCACAATGTTTTTGGCGTCTCTGAAAACCAGGACTGGAAACAATGAGCTGTTGAGAAAGAAGGCTGGACGTAGACAAGCCAGGATTTGTTCTCAAATGACATTTGAGGAGGACGCTTTGAGGAGTTAAGCCTGCACACAGGAAGAGGACTAGAGGCTTGGTTTTTATGGCTTTTTATAATCTTCCCGGTAAAAGGTAAAGGCAGCAAAATACAAATTAAAAGTTGCCATATATAAAGTAATAGTTACAATCACCATTCACAAAATTCCTTCTGTCTTTGCTGAGATGCATATGGTAATGCTGAGAGTTTTAACATGCATAAGCTTTAGTTTTCTTCTATTTTGACGTGGGGTATAATTAGGGATATAAAGGGAAAAGGAGAGCTAAAAGAGCTCTGTCTAACCTTTAAGCCCAAGCCATGGAGCTGTAAAATTGCAATGATTATTTATTATAGACATATCAACATTCACATTAGCTTGCTTCTTGCTGTGGTAAAAGCATCCCAATTGGAATACTCTCTTCAGCCTTACCACGCTGCTCAAATGGCACTCGATATGCTCCTCACCTATCTAGAAAATTCACATCATGTGACAGCTCTTCACTACCCAATACCTGTAAAAATATGACTTTTACTAATATCTGATGGAACTTGACAGACTGAAGACACTTTCATAAGGAACACATCTGGGCCTCAGAAATGTCACCCCTCTCCACTGTTTCCTACAATCAACTAAAAGCCTCCCGAGGCTAGCCAGAGGGACTCCCTCTCCTCCTGAGACCTTCAAACTGTGTTGGAATTTCTGAAACCAGAAGGGAAGTAGGTCTCAGCTGCCTGTGTCTCCACAAGAGACTGGTAGAGTGAAAAACAAAAAAAATTAAATCAAAACAAAAATATCATCTTGAACTGAAGCCTCTCAAAGAAGTTAAGTGTCAACAGGCTAACAATGCCATATTTTTACTGTGTACTTGGCAACATTTGATCCTAAGTGACACTGAGCCCCACTACAGAAATCCGTAGCCATCTGCATCCAAGTAACATCTGAGGGTGTCTGACTAGACATTCAGCAATTGCCTTAATGTAAGAGAGCAGCCCTCCCTCCCACCCCCCAGTACATCACATATGGGTATTAGATACATCCCTTGCCTCCAATCTTGCCAGGCAGGTCTTTCCAACGCGCAAATTTTTGGCTCTGCTGAAGTTAGCTTTGGAGATTGTCCAAGGACTTTTTTTACATCTGTTCACTGTATTCAGTAGAATCAGTTTATGCACCTGTCTGAAACACTGACTCCAAGCAGCAAGAACACAGTTCTCGCTCCCTTCTGAGGACTAAGAATACTTGTCAGAATCACAGAATCATAGAATGGCTTGGTTTGGAAGGACCTTCCTTTCAAGGTCATCTGGTCCAAGCCACCTGCAATAAGCAGGGACATCTTCAACTAGATCACATTGCTCAAAGTCCCGTCCAACCTGACCTTGAGTGTTTCCAGGGATGAGGCTTCTACCACCTCTCTGGGCAACCTGTGCCAGTGTTTGACCACCCTCCTCATTGTAAGAAATTTCTTCCTTATATCCAGTCTAAATCTACCCTCTTTTAGTTTAAAACCATTATCCCTTGTTCTATTGCTACAGGCCCTGCTAAAAAGCCAGTCCCCATCTTTCTTATAGGTCCCTTTTAAGTATTGGGAAAAGCTTCAATAAGGTCTCTCCAGAGCCTTCTCTCCCCAGGCTGACTAGCCCCAAATCTCTCAGTCTTTCCTCATAGTAGAGGTGTTCCAGCCCTCTGATCATTTTTGTGGCCCTCCTCTGGACCTGCTCCAACAGGTCCATGTCTTTCTTGTACTGAGGACTCCAGAACTGGATGCAGTAATCCAAGTGGGGTTTCACTGCAGTGGAGTAGAGGGGGAGAATCACCTCTCTTGAGCTGCTGGCCACATTTCTTGTGATGCAGCCAAGGATACAGTTGGCCTTCTGGGCTGCAAGCAGACATTGCCAGCCCAGGTCCAGCTTTTCATCCACTAGTAGCCCCAAGTCCTTCTCTGCAGGGCTCCTCTCAATTCCTTCATCCCATAAAACATTTTCTAATCAAATAAAGAGAAGCTTTCTTTGTGGATGAACCTGTGTGTTTTCTTATGGTGACATGCTGGCATTGCTACTGTCGGTGCAAAATTGATGCACCTTTGCTGGCGGAAGGTCAGCCATGGGGTGGGTTTTGGCTCACACAGCTGTTGTGATGCCAGCAACTGGATAGCACCATTAAAGTGTGAGTTAGTCAGTATTTGGGGGGAATAACCTCTGAAAGCCAAAGGACTGTGAGGATGTGTGCAATGCATGCATGTAGAGTCTCATACTGTCTCCTGGTCTGCTTGAACAGCATTTCATTGATGGCTGTGGGGTGATGGAAGCTTTGGTTTACTTGCAGACACACTCATAGTTGTTCTAAATCTAGAATTTCTTGTGGAGTTCTTGTGTAACACATCATTCCTCCTGGAAGGGCTCCAGTAAGTGATGTGACAGCATGGCCAGCCCTGTAAATGAGAGGAGAAGGGTGCTGTGGTTCAGCCACAGCATTTTTAGAGAGGTGACAGCCGCATGCTTTCTCCCATGGTATACATGGGAGGTATACATATTGGCAGCATGGGGCTGTTTCAGGATTGTGGCTCAAGCAGCGTCTGCAAATGCCATCTTGCAGGACACTGTAAATGCAGCCAGTGTTTCCCAAGAAGGATAAGAAGAGACCTTGTGCCTTATTATGAAAGATGAAATCTGAAGCTTGAGAGGGATTTCAGAATGCACCTAGGATAGTTAGGAAAAAGGCATAGAGATATATTTATATATATGAGCTTCAGGTCATACTCCTGCCTATTCAGTCTATTCATGTATTTTGGTCTCTTTGTGAAAGAAAAGATGAAGATACAGGAAAAGGGTGGGACTGAATGAGGATGAGCCGGTACTAACCTCATGAAGTTTAACAAAG